TTCTATAACGTGGTTCATATTTAGTTCGTTTACTTTGCTTTACTAACACTTGTTCGCCCTTGGGAAAATACATAATCTTTACCTTTCTTTTTTTATCATGATAAATCTTATTCTTAATCATGCTTTTGTCATGGGTTTTCTCAACGTCATCATGAACAAACTACTTAGTTATTATTTGATCAAACATAGAAGGTAATTTAGTTTTAATTTGTCGACCAAACATTAATTCTGCAGGACTTTTTCCTGTAGATGGATGAGGTGTTGCACGATAGTTCATTAAGAATTTTCTCATTTCTTGCTTCCAATTTTTACTTTCAACTAATGAACATCTAATAACTTTCCCTAAATTTTTCATAAAGTTTTCAGTCAACCCATTTGCTCGTCCAAACTCAGGAGTAACCTTTCGATGTTTAAAACCAGAGTTATCGGCATATGTTTTGAATTCATGAGAATTAAAAGGTGGGCCATTATCACTCTTTAAGTTATTAGGATACCCAAAAGTTGTGAAAATACGATCTAACTTTAGAATCACAGAAGCTGAGCTAGTGGAACTTGTTACTTCTACCTCAGGATAACGGGAGTATTCGTCAATTACAACTACTAAATATTCTCCAGAGGGTAAAGGACCATACATATCAGTAGCAAGGTGTGACCAAACAGTGGAAGGTAATTTCGTTGGTTTTAATGGATCTATAATTTTGTTATCAACATTAACCTGACAAGCATAACATTGAGAAATTGCACTAGTTTATCCATCGCAGGAAACCATACCTTTTCCCTCATCAAAGCTTTTGTTTTGGAGATACCTAAGTGACCCTTATGCGCAGTAGTAACTATTTGCATTTGCAATGACGTAAGTATTACAATTGTAGATCCTCTAAGTAAAATACCGTTTGCAAAACATAATTCGTCTTTGATGTTGTTAAATATTTTTAACAATTCTTTATCAAAACCTTTAGGAGCTTTTCTCATTTCATTAGTTTTTAAGCATTGTACTACAAACATTAGTGTAGGATCCTTCTCGGTAGCAGATTTAATATCTACCAATGAAGTAGCTTTTAGTTTATAATGTGTTTGTATAAATGAAATATGCTCAGCAGATTTTACACCAGTGCACGGCATAGAACCTATCGGTTTATCCATCGCAGGAAACCATACCTTTTCCCTCATCAAAGCTTTTGTTTTGGAGATACCTAAGTGACCCTCATGCGCAGTAGTAACTATTTGCATTTGGAATGACGTAGGTATTAAAATTCTAGATCCTCTAAGTAAAATACCGTTTGCAAAACATAATTCGTCTTTGATGTTGTTAAATATTTTTAGCAACTCTTTATCAAAACCTTTAGGAGCTTTTCTCCATTCATTAGTTTTTAAGCATTGTACTACAAACATTAGTGTAGGATCCTTCTCAGTAGCAGATTTAATATCTACCAATGAAGTAGCTTTTGGTTTATAATGTGCTTGTATAAATGAAATATGCTCAGCAGATTTTACACCAGTACACGGCATAGAAACTATCGGATGTCGTGACATATAGTCAATTGGATAATTTGACCCAGGAGTATAAACAACCTTAAACCGGTAACTTTGAGCTTTTACCACCCATCTTTCAATACGGCAGGACATCTTATGTAATTCTTTAGAAGAAAATATTTTAACTAGAGGCCTGTCATCTGTCTCAACTATAAATTCAGGAGATTCATCAAGATACAATCTATGGTGATGCAAACCCCATGAAATTGCTAAAGCCCCTATTTGATTTTACATCATCACGATTAATTGTGGGGCATAGTGGAAGGCACATTGGTACTGGTGGTAGTGTCACAGCACAACAACAATACAGGGGTGTCATACAGGTGGTTTTGTGACACCCAACTGATCTACTGTAATAGTTGCATTCTCAAAATTGGAAATTCCTGGTTGGGTTCGCTAAACAAGCTATAAAAAAAAAGTCTCGCCTTACAGAATAAACTGGACTTTTTCAAGTTTCTGGATCGTGCTTAGCAAAGTCTTTTTATTTATTTATAGTTTTATTATTTTTTTTTTCGTCAACAAGATAAAAAAAGATTGCACAACATAGACAAAGTAATTAAAATATCACTGCGGTGGGGCAGCATTTATCCGTCAAATTCATAGAATAATCAAACATATATTTTTTTACCTAAGTATTGCACAATTTTTTATATGCATTTGATAAAAGTGTCATACATTTTTTGTAACAGATCAAACAACCCGAGTATTGCACAATTTGTCTTAATGCATTTTATACAAGTTTCATTTATAAAGCATTTTTTTATTTTAATCAAACAACTCAAGTATTGCACAATTTTTCTTAATGCATTTTATACAAGTTTCATTTTAATATTTTTTGGAACAAACAACACAATTATTTTCATAAATTTAAACATTTTTTTGAACAAACGACCTAAGTATTGCACAATTTTTCTATAATGCACAAGTATTGCACAATTTGTCTTAATGCATTTTATACAAGTTTCAATTATATATTGTTTCAACGAACAACACAATTATTTTCATAAATCTAAACATTTTTTTAAACAAGCAACCCAACTATTGCACAATTTTTCTTAATGCATTTGATAAAAGTTTAATTTTAAGACATTTTTTTGAACAATTATTTTCCGAAATCTAAACTGTTTTTTAACAGACACCACAATTATAACATTTTTAACAACCAACAATTATTTTTAAAAATTCTAACTTTTTTAACAACTAACACAATTATTTTCCAAAATACTTCCCTTCCTTATTACTCTTCTTTCACCAACAAATTAATTGTGGTTATGCATTGTCGGCTTAACTCACCAAGTCAGATATTTTTCGAAAGTTCAATGCTCACTTCTTTCAATTGAAGGGTGTCACCCTTCCACATCATAGGTTCTATAATATGAATAAAAAGTATGTGACTTATATATAAACATTAAACTGTTACAGAAAACTTCATTTCAAATATATCACAATGAAATTTAAACAATAAAATTTATCTTTTAGTTATTATTGATAACCTTTCAAATCACATGAACTAATAATGAGTCAAGACCTTACCTTTGTCACTGCTGGGTTCTGTAGTGATAAAATTGAAAAAAAAAACCATAAACCACTTATTCGTGTAAAGTAGGTATGAGTTTAAAAATTTAATAAAAATAGAAAAAATAAAGATACTTCACTTTTAAATTTTAATGTCACCGCCTAATATATGTAAATATGTCATATGTGATTTTCATCCATGCTGTAGCTTTCATATTTTTGGCACAACAAAAATATAACAGTATAAAGACAGCCTTAACTTTCTGCCTCCAGTTAGGGCGCCGCCAGCGTTTCAGCCAGGTCCAATGTAAACATTGCAAGGGGTCTATATGGCATGTGATGGAGGTGTAATTTCTGCAATTCACTATGATTATTGCAAAAAAAATATTACTATTTTGAAATTTCGAGCGAATGCTATGAACGAGATTCAAGAATTTTGCTAACTACATGTACCATTACATTATATCATGTTTTCCAACATTTGACTTTAAATAACCTTCGACCTGGATAACCTGAAAACAGTCACATGCGCTGGTAAGCTTTTCCATCACATTTAAATAACAAACCATGTTTGCAGCATGCATATTGAACATAATAAGGCCTACTATCAAAATCAATATCCACTCAAATGACCTCTAACCCCTCCTTGACGTTTAAAAGTAGACTCCATCAAATGGACCCATCAAAATTTCTTCGCGACGAACCAAACATTGGGTCGCGAACCATAGGTTGCGGAACGGAGACTCATCTTTGAAGTGTGAGAAAAGTGGCATTCGCTTGAATAAGCTCGAATTTAAAATAGTCGCCATATTTTTTTTTTTTATTTTTTTTTGCAATAATCATAGTTATGGAAGAAACGACAAACAAATGTGTTTTAAAACGTTTCGAGAACTTGACGAAAGTAAATTGCAAAAATTATACCTCCGTCACATGTCCCATATGATAAGCAAGTTAGCTTAATTATACAAATTAGTTGGGAAAATATTATAGGTCATCTTCACAAATGCTGGTTGTAGAAGTTAATTTTCTTTTAAAATATTCAGTAGGCTTATATGCAGGTTTCTATTTTTTCCATTGTGAGATATATTTCCGAAAAAACATAACCTTTGACAGACAATACTCCTCGTAGAACCCTTCCCCAGGTAACAAGCCCATAAGGGACACATATGGTGCCCATATGCAGATCTATATGAGTACCATATGTGCAATCCTTGAGGAAACCTCCGGATTCTGCACCCAAGATCGATGTGGGGCCCATATGATTTAGCCCACATAGCCCAGATATAACCCATTTGGGGCCCACATGGAACCCACATGCATTTTTACATGGGTGGCATATGGGTTTCACATATGGGACCTATATTTTCCGACCCATATGTGAGGCCCATATTTTCTGGCTCATATGGATGGCATATTGGTTTGCCCATATGGGAGCCTGTATGGTTTAGTTGACATGGCCCAGCGAGAACAAATATGGAGGCCACACATTTCTGACTTGGCTTCTAACTCTGGTTTGAATATTGGCTGAGTCGATGACCATGAACTAGGTGTACATTTCAACAAATTACTCCTTTTCTGAAAATGAAGCTTTTCAACTGCACGTATAGTACAAAATATTTTCACTGCAATGATTAAACAAAACGGTTATTTCATTTTAACACATCAATCATTTTATTTATTTTGTAGAAAAAGCAATATTGTCAATTGCAAATACAAAATAGTGGTAAATGAAATCAAAATTTCTTAATGTCCCTTAATAACTATACAATTCAATTTCTCCAGTCCTTGGGAAGTAAGAATATTCCATCATTTTGATCGCATTGGGAATATCACATATTTAACGTTTTTACAGATTATGAATATCCTCAATTTGGTAGGGTCTATGCAAGAGTTTATCAATAAGAATCGTCAATAGTTTCACCATGAATCATAGTAACAGACAGTGCGAATGCCTTTTTCCCTCATACTTTTCACAAAGGTTATTAAGAAAATATCCAATCGCCTCCTTTTTTTCCTATCTAGTTGCATCCTCGCATTTCAGAATTCTGCAAACTGGCCCTGAGAAAGAAAAAAGAAGAAGACCTAAAAATAATAGCTTTTAAGATTTACTCATTTAGATTTATCAAATAAAAAAAAGACATGCAACACAAATAAAATTTTGAAAATTAGTGTTTTCATTGACTTGACCTGACTCATTGACAATTGCATCACAGATAAATGCAACACAATTATTTGCCTAGAATTAACCACTCAGTCTTCAGCAAGGCTGTAAAAACTAAGAGGCTTGGTGTACAAAAAATTAAAGCATTACAACTAATGTAAAACAAGAAACTTTTGTGACATGAAACTTTCGCGAATTGATAAGGGCACATATCACTCCTGTGCACATTAACTATTTGGAAATATTGATGCGGGAATAAAAAAAAACCACCCTCATCACATTTTTTTTTTAAAGGAGTATTATTCTAATAATTATTTCTATGTGCCCTAATACCTGAATTTATTCATGAGATGAACACCATACTATAGATCATCTATGATGACAATATCGTATCATGAGTTCTAGGCTAGAAAAGCCTACAGCTTCTGTCTAATGCTAGCTAGGCCCAAGAATAAGCCTGCCTATCTGCTAGGGTTTAGCTGGCCAGACATAGCTAATAATTATATGATAATTACAATCCTCATTAACATACAATATTTATAAATTTTGTATCGTACTTGTGAAATTTGTTTGCACACGAACGTTTAGCTGGTCTTTACAGTATTAAACGCTTTGATTGTCTTAAATATGATTTTATTAAGATGTGTTGAGTACAATTAATAAGAGTATCATCCAATAATTCAATATATATTTATAGAAGCTAAACAGATTGAGTTTTACGAATAATAAAGTAACAATGTAGTGGTTAGATTTACAGAGTAATCCTTAACATTGTTATGTTACATGGATATTATTTCATCAGTAGCTAAGGCGAGACTTCCTTTATTCCTTGTTTTGCGTACTTATTCTTCTAAAGATCATCGGAGGAGGGCAGAATAAAAATAAAGATAAAATTTAGTTGTTTTATTCAGCAGACAGTTTGCCTAAAACATCCAGACGGAGAAGAAAATAAATATTTAAAAAAAATAAATTTTATTGGCGAATGTAAAGTAGGATGGTTAAATGCTTAAAATTTATATAAATGTGTTTGGAGATTTCAAGGCAGTGGAGGACATAATATAATTTTAATTTTAAAAAACTAATTTTTTACTGCAATTTCCATTTTTTGTGGCAGTGGGTGCGCTAATTGCTCAAAAATAAAATTTTATTTTTATTTAAAAAACATCAACATTTGCAGTAGGCGGGTTCGATAAAGAAGGTATAAAAAAGTCTCGCCCGAACATTTGGTTTTTAGAATCTATTAA